CTCTCCCTCCCTCTCTCCCTCTCTCTGGCAGCAATTTTATATAAGAAACAGGCACAATAAAGAGATGTCAGTCTTTTGGTATATCTTAGCCTCTTTATATATTTTTGCTTTATTCAATCAAGATTTCGAAGGTAAATGAATTTACCAGTTAATGCCTTGGATCCACCAGTGCATTTCTGGCTCACATCAGAAGTGACGAAGACATGAATCCCAGTCATTAGACACTTTCCTGGCTGTAATATTTTAAGAATGAATGATGAACAATATGTTACTTCCATAGCAGGCCTTGCAAAGTTTCCTATAACTGAAAACCTGACAAAGAATTACCATCTTTCAAAATAGCCACACTGAAGGAAAGGAACTGGGGCAGATGGATAGCTTTTTATATTGGAAAGAATGACATGCATTACCCATCCTGCAACTCAAAGAATGCTCTTCTGGTCTAGCGATGGTCATATCCAGCTGCTCTGTACCACTAAAAATATAATCTTGCCACAAGGAACGACTCTTTGTTTGCACAAAGCCAGCTATTTCCAACTACTGTTGTTACTGCTGCTATATAGTTTGCGGGAAGGAGATAATCAAAAACATGCCGTGCCTTAAAACATCACTTACAGCAGTTTAAAGGCATTACAAAGAGAAATATTAAAGCCCTTATCCAGGGCCACCTCTAGACTGTTCCAGGGAATGAGCATCTTCAGCACCCACCCCCTCTGTTTCTACAAAATTTAAATGCCTTTTTATAGTGACATTTAAAACCCACTTCAATGCATAACCTACATGCATGATTTATCCCAGTCATGCATGATGATACATTTGCATACCAGGATCTATAAATCTATGTTCATTCGTGCCACGTATAAACAAATAAACACAGATTTCTTTCCTCTACGCTTAAGGATGCTTTTAAATTTGAAGAATAATTGAAATGTACTAGCATAAAGCCATCCAACTATACACTAAAAATTTGGGAGTACCAGTAGTAAAGAGTGCTACAGCAGATGACATCGCTGAATCTTAATATAATAGGTACCATAACACTCTCTCTCTTTCTCTTGACAGACAGACAGACAGGCAGGCAGGCAGACAGACAGGCAGGCAGACAGACAGACATAGATACATATAATCTATTTACTGAAAAGTTTAAAAAAAATTAAAATGAGACTCTTGCTTGCTGTTTACAAAAGAAATGAAGTTGTTACCTATAATACCGGTGTTACTAATTTCATAATTCATAGAGTACAGAGATCTGAAGGCAATGCTCTGGGAGAGGAGGAATCACTGGAACACTATATCACCCTCACAAAAGGAGGCTTTTTACTGAAAAGATCTGAAGGACACCCAACAGCTCTAGAACATTTCATCACCTCAATGAGCCGGTCACCAGCCTTCAATCTCCCATCTTGAATAGCTGCACCTCTTGGAAGGATGTTTTTCACGTAAATCGGAGCAGAGCCGCCAATAGGAACATCTCTGGAAGTGATGCTGAATCCTAGGCCTTCTGTGCCTGCACAAATGATTTTAAAATGCTGTTAAGTTTCTTATGCTCAGATGTTTATGATTCCCTAACAAAAAAAAGGTAAAAGACACACAAACCATACACCCCCACCAGTATTTTCAGATCACTAGGAAGAAACATACCACCACTGAAGTCATCATTATAAATAAGTGAACATAAGTGAGCCCCTCAAAATTATCAAAGTTTACAAACCTTAACCAGCTGTACAATCAACTGTTTCTGGAGAAGTTTCCCACCAATCTCAAAAATCACCAACCTTCAACTTTACAGTTTGAGTGAAAAATCAAGTCAATGTCGAGTAAACAGTACACAGCACATGTGGAATAAAGTTCTGGCTTCTCCATTCTCCTGATTGCCAATTTTCATTAGACCTGCAGAGGTCCATCAGTGGCTATTAGCCACAAGGTATAGATAGGGGCTCTGGGGCAAGTGATGCTCTGTCTTCTTGGTGCTAGGGGGGGTCAACAGTGGGAGGGCTTCTAATGTCCTGGCCCCACTTGATGGCTATTTCTGGCCACTGTGTGACACAGAGTGTTGGACTGGATGGGCCTTTGGCCTGATCCAACATTGGCATCTCTTATGTTCTTATATGTTCTTAAGCCTGGTACCTTTATCAGTTTTCGAAGGTCTCCTCCACTTATAACCACAAAAGTTCACCCCGTGGGTCTGCTACTTATTGTTAACTTAGCTGCTTTGTAGATGAGCTTATTTTCACTCTATCATTTCTGTATTCAGTTATGGAAACCCAAGTGCAAAATTCTTAGGAAAAAAAATTAATACAAATCCTTCTGCTTAACTTCCTAGCTTAACTACCCAAATTTATAGCCCAGCTTAGCCCAAGCTCTTTGGGGCTTGGGAGCTAAGCAGGGTTGGCCATGGTTAGTACTCGGGATTGGAAACCTCCAAGAAAAACTGAGGTTGCTATGCAAAGGAACACAACAGCAAAGCACCTCGGCTGGTCTCTTACATGGGACACCCTGGAAATGGGGTTGTGAATCGACATGTTCTTTTTCTTCCACATCAAGACCTAGTCCTCATTTTACACATTGTACATGTATATTAGGAGCTGCGGTGGCTCAAGTGGTTAAGACGCTGAACTGCAGGCTGTGGAAGGTCGGTAGTTCAGCAGTTCGAGACCCGAGTGTGCCAGGTGATGGAGTGAGCTCCCATCTCTAGTTCCAGCTCCTGCCAACCTAGCAGTTCAAAAGCAAGAAATTGCAAGTAGATAAATAGGTACTACTTCAGTGGGAAGGTAACAGCGTTCCGTGTACCTTGGTGTTTAGTCATGCCGTCCACATGACCACGGAAACGTCTTCGGACAGCGCTGGCTCTTCGGCTTTGAAACGGAGATGAGCACTGCAACCCTAGAGTCGGACTCGACTGGCTTTCGAGCAAGGGAACCTTTACCTTTACCTTTACCTGTATATTAGACTTAGCCGGCTTTTGCCAAGTTTCATAGGTATGAGCATGTAAAATCCAGCACATCCTTAGAAACAAACTCTACTGAGAGTCATTTCTTTTCCCAATCACTACTTCCAATACCTTAAAGAAATACAGACAACATGTGCATGCTGTTCAGACTATAGAAGAGGTACATGCATTTAAGAATGACCCACCTACACATTCAGTCACTGAGTTTTGTGCATTAATTCTTAGATTATTGGAATCGCTGACCCACCCATGTCCTTATCAATGGCTAGCCATTACCACAAGACACTTTTAAAAATTGTGCCCAGAGAAAATCTGGAGCACTTGAAGACAGCATGCTACTGCTGAAACTGGAGGTTTGCTACATGGTGATCTCTGCAGAAAATGTACCATTAAATACGACAACTGTTCTAAAGAGATGCAAGCAAATGTGGCAGGCTGAGAAGATTGCTACTAAACATAAACAAACAAAACAAAGCATGGCAATGTATGGCACTGAGTTACAGCCACCTGCCTACTGATCATTTATGCTAAAAGAAAAGAAAAATGTACAAAAGTTTCAAGTTCGTGACGATGCTCACAGGGAAGTATTACTTCACAATTTGACACCTGAGCAAGAAGCAGAAAACCCCACTCCTCCACTTGCAGCTGCTGGATGACCTTGGGCAGGCCATAGTTCTGGTACAGCTGTTCTCTCAGAGCTCTCTCAGCCCCACCTACCTCACAGGGTGTCTGTTTTGGGGAGGGGAAGGGAAAGGAGTTTGCAAGCCACTCTGAGACTCAGAGTGAAGGGTTGGGGTATAAATCCAGAAGAAGGGGAGCCATGCATGGCTGGCTCTGAGTCAGCAGAAGACAGCAAACAGGCTGATGAGCTGCAGGCTGACCAAGACTTGCCACCAACAGCTGATCCAGAGCTGCCACCACACAGCCCGGATGCAGCAGGTCAGACTCAGGTGATTAGGACCAGTCCACAAGGCTCACCTCCACCCTTTGAGTGCCGGAGACAGAAGCTTAGAAGGGAGCTGCAAGCAAGGAGGCATACACATCTCCTGGCCTGTTGCCAGCTGCTTGCTGATGACAGCCTGGAGTAGCCGCAGCAGTATTCCCAAGCAGCTGGCTGCTAACAAGGGCTTGTTAGGAAGTGCCTATAAACCCAGTGCTGGGAGCCTGCATGTTGTGGAAGCAACATGTTTTTGACTCAGCAACGGCAGCTCTGAACTGTGCTCCTGTGACCCTTGGACTGGCTCTTGAGTCTTCCTCCCCGCACTCGTGAATGACCTTGGACTGCTGGATCTTGCTTCCTATATAACATTCTGAACTGGACTCTGCTTGCTCGGTAACTGACCTTTGGACTGAACTTTCTGACTCTGACTCTGGAATTTGGCTTAGACTGACCCTAGATTCTAGGGTTGCCAAACCCCCCAGTTTGCCAGGGGTCCCCCGTTTTTTGGGGGGTTCTACCCGCCGTCGGCCAGATGGCTGGCGGGGGGAAGCCCCACCCCCAACACCCACAGCCACCCATCTCTCTCCCTTTAAGGTGTGCAACCCGTGTTTCATCCCAAGCGCGAACTCCGCAAGCTTGCAGGGAAAAGCCAGCTTCGTTCTTAAAAGGGAAACGCAGCTGCTCTTAAAGGGGAAACGCCGGCTGCCGGCTACTTTAAGTGCAGGAAACCTGCATTTCTGGAGATCCGGCGCACAGGCGGGTGGGGGGGGGTGGCAGACACGTTGGGGATGCCCCACCCCCTCCAGGAACGCCCCCAAAGTCCCCCGCTGGGGGTGGAAGATGGACTTGGTAACCCTACTAGATTCTGACATTTATTATGCTGCATACTAATTTGCTGCTATTAACAGGTTTTACCAATCACCATCATCCAGTCTTAGCTATATTTATTGCTCAGTTACTTATGTTTCTTGAATCTAACTAGCCCTTCCTGGCAACTAACCCTTCCCGCCCTCTAACTATATATATAAAGGTTGGTGACTTCTGCCTCAATGCATGCACATGAAAGTTTATACCTGGGAAAAAACTTTGCTGGTCTTAAAGGTGCCGCTGGACTCAAACTTTGCTCAACAACCCAAATAAGATGGTATGCAAATATTAGTGTCCTAATCTTATTGCAGCACAAGGCAGTCCCCTGACTCAAAGTTCCTTCCTTGTCAGCAGAGCTCACAAGATATTTTATAAACAGCACATCAATCTCTTCTGCCCCCAGATCTTGCATGTTCGAAATTCAGAGGGTTGATAAACCTTGTGCTATTCCAACAGCTGAGGAGGCTTTTATTTTATATATAAAATATCCTCAGAGCTGCTAAGATGAGGAAGTAAATTTAAGTCCTCTAGTGCAATGGGAAGCTTAGAGCAATGCAATATTTGTACCTTCTCAGGGTTGTTGGTATTCAAATATATACATTTCACATTTTGTAATCACACTTTGCCATATTCAGAATTATGCTTCAAAAGACCTAATTTTAGATCACTTTTGTGTGGATCTATTTGTCCATATTTTTTGTAGACTGTTACTCCCATTTTTAATGTTGCTTGCAATAAAACCTGAGATTCTATTGCTCTGCACTGTAGTCATCACAGGTACTGTTTTCAGAAGATAAAAATAACAGGATTCGGGGGAAAGAGCAAATGGATCATCTAGACCAAAATCTTTCTTCCCCACAGGAGGACTTAGGTGATATGCATAATTGCCCCAGGCACCCCACAGTGAAGATAACAGCACTGAGTTTTAACTAGTTTATTTTAATCATTAGTTATGCAGATCTACGTCATACTACTAAATATGCTGACATATTTAAATGAGCGGGCTGCACTGGACAGCCTGACAGCGGCTGCCTTTGTTGGGCAGGCCCAAACTCAGTCTGTGTTTTCCGCTGGCCTCATCTATCAGAGCCTGTCCACAATGTGCTGAGAGGTGTCCAGCTCCATCATCTCCCCTGATGCATCACGTGGCTGCTACCAGGTTCAGAAAGACGTTGCTCAGCACTGAGGGCACTCCTTCCCAGCCTCACCCCACCAGTGATGCACTGTTCCAGACACACCCTCCATTGCTGCTAATGCCTTTTAGGGTATTTGCTGAACATCCCTACTTATCGTGATCAGCCTGCCCTAAACTTTTTATGGCCTAAAGAGTACAAAGACCAAGCCTATATAACCACCTCTATCATGACATCACAAAGCAGGTTTCTCAACCTCTATCATGACATCACAAAGCAGGTTTTTAAAAAAGGCTTCCTCGATAGACAAACCAAGGAAACCCCCAAAACTCCTGCTTGGCCCCAAAGGCAACTGGCTATCCCTGCTATGTTAAAGGCAGGGTGGTTGGGTCAGTAGCCAGCAGCAAAAGCCTGCATGGAAGAGGTGTGGCACAAGATACGTGGCACAATCGCACCTCCTTATTTTCTGCTTCAAAATATGGCTACCCAATTAAGTCTTGTCCCTTTCTTGTCTCCAACAGGGGCCAAGGCAAACTCATCCTGGCTGGCATTAATGCTGGCCACCAGAAATTCCATTTTATACTACTAGGATTCAAGATGGGGGGGGGACCTCCTTA